CTGGGCTACATTTTGTTGCTATTCCTTGCAAAGGAGCTCAAGGTCTTCAGGGGAACTTTTCCTTTCCCACCTCTTTCCACCTCACTCTCCGACAGCTCCCATCCCGACTGCATTGTCCCCTATGGGAAGAGAGCATTCTCCACAGCAGCCCCTGTCCTACTCCTTTACCAAGGCTATCCCCTCCACACAAGTCTCCTCCCTCCCACTCAACCCACCAGGCTGCCTCCCACCATACTCCATCTCTGCTGTCACTTCTGGGATTGACTCTACATAAAAGACTTGCAGCTGCAGGTCTGGAGGAACCAACCACTGGCAACCTGACGGGCTAAGGGCACAGAAAATGCTCAAGCTTAGCAGGAAAGCAGCGGGGAAAAGCCCTTAATCCAAACCCTGCGGAGGCAGGAGACTGCTCCAGTTCAGCCAAAGATCTGGGACTGCCAAGATATCCACTGCTGCTTGGCCAGCAAACCCAGAGGGGTTTGCAGACGGGAGGCTCAGCCCCCCCAGACCTCTCCAGGGCAGCTTGGGCTGCTACATCTTGAACTGAAATCTGCTGCCCCTGACAACATAGAGCAGCAAAGCCTGACAGATCGATGTGCTGAGTGGCACAGAGCTAGGAAGCCAGGCTAGGTGGATACTGGGATTTCTGCCACTGCCCAAGGCCTAAGAAGTCAGTGCTCATCATGGCAGCTTGACCAACTGACAGCATCCCAAGGCACAATGATCAGCCACATTCAGGAGCACAGTGCCATATTCCTGAGGCCTCTGGGCAGGAATCAGGGCATAAGCAAAGCCAGGGAAGGAGAGACCTGGGTTAGGCTGACCTAACCCTTGGGCTGGGCTGGCAGTTCAGCTCTGGGGTGCTGGTGGAAGTTCAGATGGAGGGCGCAGGGAGAAGCTGCACAACTCCTGCTTTGTAGGACCTGCTGCAAAAGTTGTCTGGGGACCCAGGTATGCTCAGAGTGCCACAGTAAATGCCTGCCAGGCACCAGCCACACCACCTACAGCCACGAGAGCTAAATTAGCACTCAAGCACTTGGGCACTTGCACTCACAATGCCTGCAGTGAGCTGCGTGCTGTGCTCCTCATAAACAAGTCATCTGGAAAATAAGTAAGCCTGTAAAAATCCAGTCCATCACAAGTTACCAAACCTGTTTCAGAGTAAAACAACCTAGAGCAGTTGATGCCAGAAGGCTGGCAGTGAAGCTGATACCAAGCTCCACCACCGGTGGGACTCCCTTGGTCCCACACTGAAACATCCCTGGCATAGATGGCAGCATGTGGATGCCACGTAAGACTTGGTGGTGGCCAAAGCTGGCAAAGAAACACAGTTTCTGGTAGAGACTTGAGATCCATCTCTTCCTGTGCTACCAAGCACTCACCTTTCCTCATTCTCATAATTTAGAAAGCATGTGAGTTGCCCTTATGTGGGGTGCTGCCAAGAAAGAAAGCCCAAACCCACTGAGTTGCAGAGGGACTCGGCAGCCCAGTCCCTGTCCCCCTGGATTTGCTGAACATGCACTGCTCCATGGACAATGCCGGATGCCATTCCTACACACCTGCAGGAAGATTCCCAATGTTTTCCTCCAGGTCTCAGCACCACAACGTATTTTCTCCCCCTTAATGTTCAAAGCTACCAGAAATCTTCAGAATGTGAAGGGATTTCTAGGAAGCTAGGAAGGGGGGAAATATATCTCCTTCCCCCAAAATAAAACAGAAGCAGAGCCTCTCTACCCAAGCCCGTTTCCACTGGTAGCACCTCTAGCTGAGGAAAGGCAGCTGGGAAACCTCTGAGCAAGCTCAGATGTACCTGGCCTCAACCAGCCATGTCCCACACAAAGATAGGGCAACCACGGTAATACCCTGCAAGTGAGTCTCTGCTGACTTCTTACCCAAACTCCAACCCCAGCAATGTATTTTTCCCCTTTCTGGATGGAGAAAAAAATAAAAAGCAACACATCAACCTCGCACTGGAGCAACTTTCTTTTTCAGCCTTAGAAGCAGGTTCCCCCGTGCAGGCGGGAGGCACGTGGCTGGGGCAGCAAAGGCAAAGATGGAAGAAAAAATGTTTCATTTTGCGACCTTGACACAAACAAAATGACAAGAAGCAAAAAAGAAAAAAAAAAGGAAAAGAGGGTGCCTTGTTGGCTTTTCTTCCCCCCCTCTCCTCTTTAAGCGCTACAAAAACAGGAAACAAAGGAGAAAACATCTCACGGGGGGAAGGGGAGGTAAGCGCTTTATACGCCCACGAAAGAAAGATTAACCACATATTTTATTTACTGTTTGTATTACAGTTGCACCGTGGAGTTCAGAGCCAGGGCTCTGCGGGTTTGTGCAGCACCTAACGCTGAACGCGGTTCCTTCTCCCAAACCCACCAGGCCTATGTTCCACTTCAGGCAGACACTGCACAGACACCCCCTTTCCTCCAGCAGACACCCATCTCCAGCCTCCTTCACCCAGCCGGAGCACTTCTGCCCCAGCTGCCAGCTCAGCTGACAAAGCACTGGTGCTGTCCCCAAGGAGTTTTGAGCCCCCCTTCCCCTTCAAAATGGTCTGCAACCAGGGGTAAGGTGCCCTTCGAGGTGGGTTGGCAGCACAGCCAGAGGAATAAATACTAAAAAAGCAGAGTTTATGGGGAGCACGTCTGCAGGCTCCGGTCTCTCCTCCTGGCCATGGGGGCCACCCCCTCCACAGCGAGTCGACGTTGCAACCCCCACACTTGCGAGTCCCCCACACCAAGGTCAGGGCTCTGATCCTCCCAACTTTGACTCATTTCTCAATTAACGGCTTTCTGAACACAAGCCACGCATGGAACAAACCTCTCACAATGGGGCCTCCCCCGGACCTCCCAAGCCCAGCGTTACTCATCTGTCCCCCAGTCCCAGTCCATCTTTCCTGGGATGCTCCAAGTGCGGCTCACCGCTGCTGCAGGGTGAGCAAGCAGCCAGGAATCCCGGGCCCGGCTCCCACAGGCGGGAAGCCGTCACCAGCTGAGCTCATGCACCTTAATTCGGGAGCCGACGAGGCCACCTTCCTTGCTGGCTGGCGACGGGCAGCTTTCAGCCGGAGACCCAGCCATGGCCATGGAACAAGGGCTGGCAACCTGCTGGGTGTTTTTCCCAGGGTCTCATCCCTACCCCAGCCACTTCATGGAAGAACTGCTTCAGCTATACGGGGGATCCTCTGGGCACACCGTCCCCCAGCTTGGCGCTGTCCTTCATTGACCCAGACTCCGTGCACCCAACCAAGCCACGCGCCCAGCGGGAAGAGACAAGCTTATCATCACAGAGAAAGGAAATTAAGATAACGCGGCGATGGAGGTACCGAGGGATTTGGCCAAGGTCAGAAAATAATTCCGTGGCTCAACGATACAGCCGTCTAACACTTTTGGTGTCTGGCCACATATCCTAAAATTTCAAGCCAGGGCCAAAATCCAGCCTAGCTGGTGGCAGATTTCTGCCAGGTCATTAGCAGCGTGCATCCGCAAGAAGCGGCGAACATCCAGCCATAACAACGGCAGCAACAACAAAAAAAAACATGCAGCAAGAGCGGGAATAAATGAGATCAAAGTGTCCTGGAAAAGGACCTGGAAAAATAGTTTTGGTCCCTGGCTAAGGCTCCTGGGAGATGCACATGCGAGCCCCATCCCAGCCCTGCACAGCCCTCCCGAGGTGGCTCCCCACCCTGGCAGAGGGAAACCAAAATGACTCCCTATAAATAGAAGCAGAAAAGCGCTTCTCCAAAAGACTGACTGGGTCTTTCCCCTTCCAGCGTGTGTGGCGGAGCTGCTGGCACCTCTGCGGAGGTCCCTGGTTTTCCCCCAAAAAACCTGGGGAGGAAAATAACCTCCCTGTGAGCTCAGGCTAGTTCCCCTCTACACAGAGCTGCACTCCCCCCCCCCGCCCCACTCCCAGGCCTGGCCATCCAATTGGAAAGTAATTATACTGCAATTTTTATTTATGACTTCTTTTTTTCTTTATTGCTAAATGGTGACTCATTTTGGCAACATTAAAATACACAGGAAATCATCCCCATTTTACAGTAATCACCATTCAATTCATTGTTAAATATTTATTCGGCAGACAAGCGCCGAGCCTCTTTCGAAGGGTCGGAGGGGGAGCGGACGGGCCGCCCTGAAAAGGGGGAAGGTGGTAGAAGGGTCACGGCAGGGCTGGCCGCAGGGCTGGTAAATGCCCGCCAGGAACTGGAGGGTGGGGAGCCAGGGGTGAAAGCTCCTGCCAGATGGCCTGGCCAAGAGCAAAATACAGACCCGCTTTCCCTCGAATCCAGCTGAACAGCCCAAGCTGCTCTAGGGAGAGGGGCAGCCCTGTGTCCCCTAATAAAAATCACATTATTTGGCCAAACCCCAAGACTGAATCCCCACCAGTGAGACGTCACGGGTCTCTGACACGTCACGGGTCTCTGACACGAAGCTCTTCCATTGCCAGGGGGGAAGAGGATGGCGGCCACCGGCCCCAGTGGGAGGCAGTGGGAAGAGCAGGCAGTTTGACATTCACAGGCCTTACAATGGACAGGGTCCGCTCCTGCAGCCGCTTTGTCCTCCCAGGAAGCCCAGTTTTGGGGTGACTCGACCTCGGATGCAGGCAGCTCTTCTGCCTTCCTCCAAATAGCTGCATAGCCCAGCACAAACCTGGCAGATGGCCCCTCCAAACACTCCTGGCCCAAGACCACAACCCTTCCCTGCAGAGCGCACACCTAATGGACCGTAGGTTCCACAGCTCACCAGCTACAAAGGCCTCCCAGCACAGACACCTTTCCTGAGGAACCCCCCCGGCGCCCACGGGCTCCGTCACAGCTTGGCTGGGAGGCCACCCAACATGTCTGCCACGGGGGAACCCCGAGCGGAAGGAGAAGTAGTGCCAGGATGGATTTTGTGTAGGTCCTACACAAACACAGGGGAACAGACATGGCAGGGAAGAGGGTGGCTGGGTGGTCCCCAAGCAGGGCAAACCCGGGTGTCCAGGATGGTTGGACTCACCCGGATCTCATTGCGGCGGATCTCCACGTCGCAGACCGAGTGTCCCTGGTGGGCCCCGCTGTAGTAGCAGCAGAACTGGCAGACGGCCACCTGCTCGGCCTCGCAGTGGTACAGGCGGTAGGCGTTGTGCTGGGGGCAGCTCCAGGCCCGCACATCCTCTGCCTCCACCAGGAGATGTCCCCGGGCCGTGGAGGGCTGCTGCAGGTGGGTCTGGACGTGGGACTGGCAGCACGGAGCCTCGCACCTCAAACAGATCTTCTGGGCAGGCAGCGGCGGGCCCCGGCGGCAGAAGACGCAGTGCAGGACTGAGGGGGGCTTCTCCAGGTTGAGGGAGTTGAACTTCTCCACGATGTTGGTGAGCTTCAGGTTCTTCTCCAGGTTGGGCTTCTGGTTGTAGGCCTGGTTGCACTCCGGGCACCGCACCAAGCCCGACTCCTTGGCCCACGCCTCCCCGATGCAGCCCCGGCAGAAGTTGTGCTTGCAGGGCAGCTGGACTGGCTCCACAAAGACGTGCAGGCAAATGGGGCAGATGAGCTCCTCTTCGAAGCAGTTTTTCCAATTCTCGGCCATCTCTGCCGGCAGCTCTGTCGACGCTTCCCCCCAGCCGCTTCGGTCGCTCAGTGCGGTCTAGAGGCGGACGCCGGGGTCTGTCCTCCCTGAAAGGGGAAGGCTGACGGTGAACGGACAAGCTCCCCCCTCCCCGCAGCACGCACCATAAATAATAAACCGCAACAGATTTTAAAATCGGGGATAAAATAAACCACAGAGCAGCACTCTAGGAATATCCGGCAAGAAAATGCAACGTCCCCATCGCTTTGTTAAAAAAACAACGCAAACGGTTAAAAAAATCCCAACGCGATCCTACTGGACTTACAGCCCAAAGTCCTAACCACCCCTAAAAGCCATTTGCTCCTTTTTACCCCAGAAGGTGAACTGAAACTTACCAAAGGTTGAAAAAAATCCATACAAAATCCAGCAGCAGAGTCCAAGTTCCATATAAAGCTCCTAAATTTAGCACTCCGGATCAGATTTTTCTTTTCTTAGGTTTGCAACTGACATTCAATATTTTAAAGGGACTTTTGTCCCCCACCAAACCTGGCCAACAGCTGAGGGCAGCGACTCGCTCGGGCTTTTTTTTTCCTTTCCCTGTATTTCTCCTCCCTCTCCCCCTGATGGGAGTTGGGAATCAGAGTCTTTTAAAGGAAACAGATCAAAGGGTTAAGATCCAAAACGGGAAAAGGAGGAAGATTAAAAAAATAATAATAATAGCGACGATGACGATGGCGGAAAAACGAATTCTCTCTGCGGCCCCCGAGATTTGCTTCTAAATCGGAGGAGCAGCAGGGGAAAAAAAAAGAAAGAGGGGAAAAAAGACAAGACAGGAAAAAAAAAAAAAAAGGAGAGAAGAAAAAAAAGCCCTCTCGGCTTTAACTCACTCA